TTAACGTTATATTCGAGGATATAGAGCCAGTGATGCCCATCTTCATATCTAGGCATCTTTCTCTTCCTAAACTTCAGACCCATGACCCCGCAATCCTTTTTTTTAATCCCCATTCCAACTATATCTTACTTTTTGGGGCTCTAAGTTCAGCTTAAGTTGGAACCACTGATGTTATAGTACACCCCTTCCCTTTTGCCACTCTTGAATCACGTAAAACACACTCTTCTTATGACCATACTCCTGAGTATCCCAAACTTCATTCTATAAGTATGATAAGATCGGAAGTTAAGGGTTATTCCGGCATGTTAATTATTTCGGATCTGTCTTTTCTTGAATGTTTCGCCTGAGAGAATGATCTTTACATCAAAGAAAGGTAAGTGAGAAAGAGAATGGCTGGGTGATGGGTCTGAAGCCTATGGAGAAGATGCTTAGGCGTAGGCAACACAGACTCTAAATCCTTGAATATGGCGTAAACGGAGAAGGAAATTAAAGGGTCATAGGCAGCCATATTTCAGACGAGAAGTGATTTTGACGTGCGGCAGCGGCCAACCGATAAGCGTGGTTGCTTAGGGCATAATAAATAGTGGCGAGGAGTAATGCCACACAGATTAAATGGAAAATTGGTCAAGAGGATGACTTTCACTTGTCACATTGGTAAGTTGTAACACTGTGCTAACGATGGCGTAGCTCACTTCTGAAGAGGAATGTTAGGGAATGTATCAAGTCAATGGTTCGATACTGAAACTCACGAATACTATGGCAGAGGACGCATGACTAGGTACGTTCAACAAGGTCAGACTAACACCGATGTGTTGAAACCTACTCAATCTGAATATAAGGCCTGTGACATTGCGGCATGACTCTCACCAAATATACATAAGTAAATAGATCAAACCACTAACCCGGGTGAAGGTTCTGCAAAATTTGTATCCATCATGACTGCAGTGCTTCCGAGGCGCATAAGGCAAACAGAGCAGCGCGGTAACGGCTTCCGACAGTGATGGCAGATCGTCTGCTTTCCACCACCTCCATGCATTTGAAGAGCAGCCATCGCAGATGCCAGCCCACCATTGCACGTATTATTATTGCCGATATTGCTGCCACCACTAGTGCTGATACCGCTGCCACCTAATCCAAATGAAGAGACACCGGATGAGAGATTGCTGCTACCGCCCATTTGATTATGCTGCTGCTGGTGTGAAGAGCCAGGTCTCCTGGACCCAGCGGGCTGATTGAGTCGCCAACCACAGAACCCACAGGCGACAAATACCTGCATTTATTTTAGGTGTAAAGGTCAATCAACTTGTATTTGCAGTTAATGGTTAAAGCCGAAAACAAAACTCAGACTTTCACATTTTTACTATTATACCCTTTGATAGATTGGTGAGGATGCAGAACCGCAGATTGGATTGTTTCTGCTACTTCTGAGCAGATAAGTAAAGAAACAGTACAAATATGGATTTATATTTTACACTGGCCTAATTTCATCTGTATTATAGAGACTGGGTATTATAGAGACTACTGATTAAAAAAACATTCTGTAGCCAACAAAAAATTGTTTCAGAATAAAGTAGTTAGAGAAACACAAACATCTTAATATGTAGATATGAAGACCAAGAAGTTGTGGCCTCTATTTTGGTCGCAGTCGCCTTTCGATATATATAACTCGTCAGACCTAGTTTTCGCAACTTGGCCGTATTGTCATGGTGACTTAGTTGGGCTCACCTTGTCTTATGTCCTCTGCTCGGTTCCACAGTCCCAGCGAAGAACAATGGAGTTGGTACATTTCCAGACGCTTCGCCGGCATCGTCAACGAGTCTTGTCATTCTCAGCACTAAGCTACAGCTCGTCAAAGAGATAAATGAAGGCAATAATTTGACCAGCCTACTGCCGACTGTTTGTGGTATCACTCCTCTTTCTGTCCTGGCCTCTACTTCCGAGCCTCTTATCTCACTCTCGCCCTATCACAATTTCTGACTTGTGAATATTAACGCCTCTAAAGATGTGCATCATCACCCATGCCGACGCAACACGAACAGGTTGATAAACTTAATTGCTCGGGAGTCTATAGCATCAAATGCGGCAGCTCTGAGCAGAAGTATATTGGTGAAACAGGAAAAAAAACCTACGAATCAAGGAACACCATAGACTCTACAGAAACAGACAATGAAAGATTCGAAATAGCGGAACATATTGCATGGACGGGACACGAAATCGAATGGACATCGACAGAAAGACTGGATGCATATGGTGGAAATACACGAAAACGCAAGATACGAGAAGCCACCGATATCCTGACTGAAAGAAATCCAGTGAACAGAAGACTTTGGGAGGGCATGATCAGCAAAAACTTTGCATACTACCTAAGCAAACTCGGAGATCAGGGAACAGCAAGATCTGCAAAAACAAGACGAATAGACAAAGGTAATATTATTAATTTTAGGAAAAGAAATGACAAGAAGACCAGAAAGGAACAATCAAAAATCAATAGAAGACGTCTACAGTGAGCCTATCCAAATGAAGTATAACTAACACATTTGGGGATCAGAACCGAAAAAAAAGTCATAGCCTTGGCACTAGGGATAAAAAAGCGAGAGAAACTGTGGTAGACATTGAAATTTAGCTACTAGTAGATAAGTTTGCTCATATACGTGGTCCATGAAATAAAGGCCTGACCACGAGATTTACTCGGTGCATATGCCGCACAGCGATAAGGGAATCTGCAGCATCAAGTTAGGTTGTCATGTCAATTGAGAATCGAGGCTTTAGAAGCTTGCTCAGTGAGGCTGGTGTATACGTGCTATCAAAGGCTTGAGGCAGAGTGTACAACATAACGCCTTTAATAGCCCGGATACGATGGCAGCGATAGCGTGAAATCACCGAAACAGGCAGAAAATGGAAGGATCATACGAAACAAGAGAGGACTCTGATAGAATCCGAAGAGAGAGGATTGCGGATTAAACCACAGCCTTGGGTCAACACTCCCGGCACAGTGGGAGGGATGTGGAAAGCAGCGGGATGTGTGAATAGGTTTCAAATAGGTAAGATAAGCAAGTAAGGAATTGTGATATTGAATAGGTGAATACCACAGGACAGGACAGATATCACAACTATTTAGCAGACAATTGGTCAAAGGATCGATTTCCCTTGTCACTTTGACGAGTTCTAGTGTGGTGATAAGAATGGTGACTCACTGGCGATGCCGGTGAAACGTCTAGGAATGTACCACGTCCACGGTCCGACTGGAATTTATCATGGATACTATGGACTCTGAAAAAGGTGCGCTCCTCTAGGTCTTCCTGCCAATATGACCAACTTGCGAAACCAAGTTCAGACAACTTCTGACTGATTTTTTACTTGATTCCGGTCCAAGGGTACGTTTCCCTTCAGGCGCTATTTCTCAAGCCTTCGGTAGCATGTACACTGTCGCGTCACTGAGCAGAGCCTAGGTTCTGATTCTCTTGTTTGCAGATATCAAGCATTGCCTTCACGGGTCATCTTTTTGATTAAACCCCTCAACACTGAGCAAATTGTGCAGGTCTATCCCTAGTCGCCTGCTATCTCTGAAGTCAATTTGGCTACAATGTCGAATTTCTGTGATGGTTATGATTATCAATCGCCGTAGTCACGTGATCGCCTGGCTCAGAAAGTTCTAGTTGTTTATTTGAGCAGACTGAGAATGTCTTCGTTCTAGTTCCGAAAGTTCCTGATCAATTTGTCCGTTTGATTCCTTTTCTTCTGAATAATGATAAATCCTTGATCTATGCGTCTCAATTTTGCTAGTCTTGCCGTATCCTTGTTCTCTTTGTGGGTGAATAATAACCACATTTATCGGTATAATGACTTAATTATAAAAAAATTAATACCATTTTCTAGAGGATTTACAAGAGGTGCATGACAGATAAGAATCTGAAGCATCGGCTTTCATACAGCTGTGGGAAAACATAGTATAAATTTTTTCGTTGATAAATAGATTTCGAGACTACCATATATATATATATATATGTATATATTCTAAAGTTAACCAAGCACCATATAAAGTTAGTAGGGTTAAAGACTGAAATATACATGCTATCTTAAATTCAAGTTTTTAATTCGAGTCAATGCCGATCCGGTCCATTATTTTAATGTTTATCGCCAGCAAAGACCTTTACTTGGAAAGAGTTAAGCTTAAATTAAAAATAAATAACTATGATTCAAAAGGAATGCTGAACTATAATTAAAAAAAAACATAAAATTGCATTTAAGAAAGATAAACTTCATTGCTAGAGATTATTTTTATGCTAAAGAGACTTTCATTTCGGATGAATTTGCATAAAGAGATTCGTAGGTCGTTCTCACAAGCAGACGACGGCCGATGTTCGTAGTACTGCAGCCGTTTTGGTTTAATACGACGTTCGGGTTGACGCAGTACAAGAGCCATTCTCCCTCATGTTGGGCGAAAATTGATTAAGTTTTGGTCCATCATATAAGGAACATCATAAGAACTGGAACTCATTCTTGTAAGCACCTCAAGCCAACACTAAGTCAATAAGACAGCCTGGCTCTATTTTATGTTATATATGCTTATAACTAAAACCGAATATATATAGACAGATAAATATAGAATGATTTAACTAACTCGCTTTCAAAGTGATCATGCTATTTTTACAAGAATGAATGAAGGCTGTGAAGATATTCATTATATGGTGGACATTATCACCCAAAATGAGTACAGAAATGAAATTTTCATTAAATTTTTCATCGGCAGATCCCAATAATTATTATTCTTAGAATCATTAATTTAATAACTTTAAATTAAATCCTATAAGTAGCATTATCAAAATGAATTCAAAGATAAACCCACAATTGTGATTTCCTTTTTCTAATTTGGTTTCTTCTGGACTAACTAGAATATCAAAATGGGTAGTCTATTATAGTAGGCTAACTGCATAGTAAATTTTGCCGCTAAATCTATCTT